GGGTCTGGGGGGTGGGGGATTCAGTCTGTGTGTGGGGGGTCAGTTTGTGTGTATAGATCATTCTGTGTGAAGTGGATCAGTCTATGTGTGGGGGGATCAGTCTGTGTGTGTTTTAGGGTCAGTCTGTGTGTGTATGGGTGTGGGGGGTCAGTCTGTGTGGGGGGGGTTCAGTCTGTGTGTGGGGGTGGGGGGTTCAATTTGTGTGTGGGGGTGGGGGGTTCAGTCTGTGTGTATGGGTCATTCTGTGTGTGTATGGGTCAGTCTGTGTGTGTGTATGGGTCAGTCTTTGTGTGTGTGCATGGGTCAGTCTGTGTGGGGTGGGTCAGTCTGTGTGTGTGTGTGTGTATGGGTCAGTCTCTGTGTGTGGTGTGGATCAGTCTCTGTATGTATGGGTCAGTCTGTGTGGGGGAGCAGTGTGTGTGTGTGTGTGTATGGGTCAGTCTGTGGGTTTGTATGGGTCAGTCTGTGGGTTTGTATGGGTCAGTCTGGGTTTGTATGGGTCACTCTCTGTAAGTGCTTGAGCTCCAAGAGAGATACCTCTCATCTCGTGACCCCCCCTGTACCCGATGGATAGGCAGCCTTCTCAACCACCACGGATCCGATTTTACCACCCCCTTCCTGCAAGGTAAGATGAGGGAAAGGGGAATACTGTATTTTTTTTCTTCTAATCAATTATTAAAGGCATAGCAAAGGGCTGACAAATGCCAGGCGCCAGGGCGAAATGTCTAGTCGCCATGGCGATCTGGCACCTGGAATTTGTCGAGCCCTGTTAATATATACACACACACACACATATATACACACGTTTTATAACTGCCCCCCTACTTTTGTCCCTGGCCCCTTATGTGCCCCCCCTAAGTTTGCATCCTGGAGACACCACTGATTGATGGAGCTGAAGCACCAGGCCAACGCCCATGGAATAGGCCCACTGACATTTATTTATTTTTTTACTGCCCTTCATATGGTCTTGCTTTGTGCTGAAGGAATTAAGTAGGGGAACTTAAGAGGGGAACTAAACCGATGTGGACTGGCTGACAATGAAATTAGTTAAGTTCTGTCTGTATGTAACTTTGCACACTGTGCAAACGCCCTTGCTGCTTCGGTCTCTCTAACACTGTGGCATATACGCTTTCTTCCACACTCACTACAACCACCTTTTCTCTGTCCCCAGCTGCATTCCAGGAACGTCTGCCTGCTGGTAAGAAGGTAAGGAGAGTAGTGAACAAGTGAGTGATATGGGACAGTCCTTAGAAAGAGCACATCACTAGACGCCTTTGCGCCAAAATCAGGGCGCTGTCTCCGTAGTACACCCTTCACCCTTCATGCCAGGCTGACCTTCCAATTCTTCAAGCAGACCTGCCCCCTTTCTGGGCATGTCCACCTCTTGGATGTGACTTACATCAGTGGCCAACTCCTTTGCCACGCCCTCCGATGTCCTGCTTCACCAGACACTGCTGTTAGAGGGTATGGATTTGCTTGAGAGATGAAAGCGAGAGATTAGCATAGGGTATGTATTTTCTTATAGCTGCGTCCTGCGAGTTTCCCTCCAGCAACACCTCCACCAGATACATGACACTTAGGAGATATGTCTGTTTAAGTGTTTTCTGTCAAGATTCTGTAATTATAATTATCAACATCAGGCCCAATGAGCTCTTAATCCTGCCCCGCATAATGTACACATCATTCAGTGATGTATAAGAGTTTATCTTTTTAGTCCATGTGTTCTCTTCACAATAAGTATTTCAGTAATGAGTAATATTTAGGCTTGGCTAGAAACAATTAAAATATGAGATAATCAACAATGGAAATTCGTAGATCCCTTAAAGGGATCTACCTTAGCTTTCAATGGCGTCTTGTCTGGGTAACCAAAAAAAAAAACCCCATAAACAATGGAATTACTGTGATTAAAACTCATATATTTACTAGCTAAGAGCATAGTAACTCAGCAGGAACAAGGCATCTCATTTACTTGAAGAGCTTGCTGAGTAGGAAAAATCATGGCCAATGACCTGGCCAAAGATCTTCCATGGCCTTCCAGTTTTACCATGTAGTCTTGTCTTGTTTGAAGATATATAACAGCCATGACCGCCACTGTAGCCCACACTCTCCGGTTCATTAGGAAAGCTATAACCAAACCCATTGTATTTATATACATCTATTTTTAGATGTCCATTACCAGAGTGTGGGCACCGAGAACTGTCTACACTTCTGGGGAATGAGAGATTCGACAAAATCCAATAAAAGTTAAACAAGGTTTTTTTTTTTTATTTGGTCAAGGGTATCTTTGTGTGGTACAACAGTATTGCTTTAGGATCAAATGGGGTCACCGGACCTACTATTTCCTGAAGAGCATCGTAAACAGCAGACCAATATAGCGTCATAAGAGGCAAGTCCAAATTATGAAAGGCTAAGTTGACTTTGCCTGAATTAAACCTGACACTCTAACCCCTGAATTATTTCACTAACATATATAATAAGACAGAACAGTTCTGTCTGTATTTAACCAGTACTGCTATTTAAAAAAAAAAAAAAACTCTCTCAGTCCTTTGTCCAGTAGATTACATCTCATATGTACCCAGTACAGTGGTTTAAAATTTGGGGGTTTTTACATAAAATAGATATCATCTCTGAGCAGGGAAGTGGTATATTTAATAAGCCCTTTTATTATTATTTTTAAAATACACATGTAGATAGAATAAACCACTGGCTTTTTACTAAAGGTGATCAACCTGTGAATACCATGATCTACCAGGAAAACACTCCCAGAATCTTCTATAAAATATTCAGATTAATTCAATAAAGTGTGTTTTAATGGGAATTGAAAATCAATTCAAGTAAATGTCAGATTTGAGACCACAGCAACCGAACTGGATAAATTTGCCAAGTCAGCTGTTTGCCTATTTTGTGCTAAAATTGTAAAATTGCTCTGAATTCCCAATAAGTCAGACTTTAATGTATAACACCGATTGTGAGGTTTTCTCCCCAAAACAGCATGTTATTGTCAACTGACAATCAATTTGCTGAAATTTTTGCTGAAAAAGCTAGAAAGAAAATCTGAGATTTTTCTAGTCTAAATTCAGCAGCTCACTTGTTAGCACCCTATAACTCGCTCGCTATTTAGTTAATAAATCCCCTTGTGTCTTTCCCAGCCTTTATTGGCGTCTTCTCTTAAGTCGGACGGATGGATAAGATGATACATGATATATACATGTTGTTGCAGTTGGCTGGCTGCATTTCTTGTGCCAAATCTGTGATCTAATCTGTAAATGAAAAGTGAGCGCCAAACTGTTGGATTATGTGCCACTGGCAGGCAGCTTGTGTTGGCAGAGAGTGATTAGTCGAATACCTGAAATAGGTCGTCACGTCACACGGATAAACCTTAATCTTTCAGGACATTAACTGCTGAGATAAAGTGGCCTGATTTATAAAAGGTCATTGATCCTTTCTCAGGCTGCTCTAGTAGTCTTAATTAAAGTTGATTAAAATGTATCAATCTGTGGAAGTAGGAGGAGGTTACGGGGGATGAATGAATGACCGTGGGCTCGAGAATTCTATGGAGGGCGTTGGGTGTGTTGCTCACAGGAGTGTGACTGGTTGTGTGCAAAATATGGGGTTTGAACAAGATGGGAGAGAAAGAAAAATAAGAACATTGGAAAGAGTGGTGGAAGACGGAGGGTGAACAAGGTGCGAGGAGAAGGAGAAAAAAACAAGGACATAGGATAGTGTGGTGGAAGACAAAGACAAGATGCAAGATGGAGCAGAAAGAAAAGCAACGAGGATATGGCAAAAGATGAGATTCAGGACGGCGATGAAAGAAAAACAAGGGGTATGGCTGGTCCAGATCAGGAGAGGGTAAAAAGAAAATCAAGGTGCAGGATAGAGAAGAACAAAAAGCAAGGATATGTGATGGCAGTTTAGGGCAAAACAAAGAAAAGGTGCGGGATGGATGAGGTAGCAAATCAAAGATATGGTTGTAGGGTATAGAAGAGGACAAGGGATAGGATCGAAGATAAAGAGATTCAAGGGACACGAGGAAGAGTGACAGAGGATAGAAGAAAAACGAGGTGCAAAACAAAATAAACAAGGATGAGGTAGAGAACAGAGGAGAGAAAGATCAAAAAGTGTGGCTTCGGGCAGAACAAGTAGAAGTTGCAGAACAGAGAAAAAAATACAAAGACATGACATGGGGTGGCAGAGTAAGGTCAAGGTGCAGGATGGAGGAGAAACCCTTTATCTAGTTTAATTAATTATTCTGATAACTGGTTTGCTCTCGCGTTTATTTACGTGTTGCCAGGTATTTTTTATTACCTTTATTACCTTTTAGTGCTCCATTTTAACATTACTCCTGTTCATCTCTTAACAATTGGTAATAACATGTTCATGTTCTGCATTTATGGATTCTACATTGTCTGTGTTGACCTGTCCTCACTGCACAGAGATAAGATAGAGCTATAGAGCTGGGTTACACAAGCGTGAGATGGACGTGACATAAGAGCAATGGAAGGTGCAGGATGAAGGGGAGAAAATAGCTGACATGGGGCAATGAAGAGGATGGAGAGACAGAACTAGGACAAAGTGCAGGAAAGAGGAGAGAGAGAAGAACAAGGACAAAATGTAGGATAGAGGAGAGAAAGAAGAACAAGGACAACATGCAGGATGGAGGAGAGAGAGAAGAACAAGGACAATGTGAAGGATGGAGGAGAAAGAGAAGAACCAGGACAATGTGCAGGATGGAGGAATGAGAGAAGAACAATTACAAAGTGCAAGATGGAGAAGAGAGAGAAGAACAAGGACAACATGCAGGATGGAGGAGAGAGAGAAGAACAAGGACAACGTGAATGATGGAGGAGAGAGAGAAGAACAAGGACAATGTGTAGGATGGAGGAAAGAGAGAAGAACAGGGACAAAGTGTAGGATGGAGGAGAGAGAGAAGAACAAGGACAACGTGAAGGATGGAGGAGAGAGAGAAGAACAAGGACAACATGCAGGATGGAGGAGAGAGAGAAGAACAAGGACAACGTGAAGGATGGAGGAGAGAGAGAAGAACAGGGACAAAGTGTAGGATGGAGGAGAGAAAGGAACAAGGATGAAATGTAGGATGGAGGAGAGAGAGAAGAACAAGGACAACGTGAATGATGGAGGAGAGAGAGAAGAACAAGGACAATGTGCAGGATGGAGGAATGAGAGAAGAACAATTACAAAGTGCAAGATGGAGAAGAGAGAGAAGAACAAGGACAACATGCAGGATGGAGGAGAGAGAGAAGAACAAGGACAACGTGAATGATGGAGGAGAGAGAGAAGAACAAGGACAATGTGTAGGATGGAGGAGAGAGAGAAGAACAAGGACAACGTGAAGGATGGAGGAGAGAGAGAAGAACAAGGACAACGTGAATGATGGAGGAGAGAGAGAAGAACAAGGACAATGTGTAGGATGGAGGAAAGAGAGAAGAACAGGGACAAAGTGTAGGATGGAGGAGAGAAAGGAACAAGGATGAAATGTAGGATGGAGGAGAGAGAGAAGAACAAGGACAACGTGAAGGATGGAGGAGAGAGAGAAGAACAAGGACAACGTGAATGATGGAGGAGAGAGAGAAGAACAAGGACAATGTGTAGGATGGAGGAAAGAGAGAAGAACAGGGACAAAGTGTAGGATGGAGGAGAGAAAGGAACAAGGATGAAATGTAGGATGGCGGAGAGAGAGAAGAACAAGGACAACGTGAAGGATGGAGGAGAGAGAGAAGAACAAGGACAATGTGTAGGATGGAGGAAAGAGAGAAGAACAGGGACAAAGTGTAGGATGGAGGAAAGAGAGAAGAACAGGGACAAAGTGTAGAAAGGAACAAGGATGAAATGTAGGATGGAGGAGAGAGAGAGAAGAACAAGGACAACGCAAGCAACACAGAGGCGTTTTGCTCCAATCATCCCTAGCCACCAACCCTACTGCCATGTCAAGACTCTGCCGCCCTGATATGTGCAGAAACGCACGAGATGCTTGCTTTACAAAAATGTAAGTGACTGATACATCCAGACAGACGGAAGCATTGCTATAGTCTGGGCATAGCCTGGTCCACAGACACACTGCTTCTAACCCAGAGTGGGGCGAGCTCATGGCCTGCTGTGAGTTAGGGCTGGAGTGGCGCCAGACCTTCTGCTAACATTTAAGAGTAGGTCTGGCTGCCAGCCAAGCACACTCGCTACAGAAAGCTGGCTGTGGGTGCTAGCTGGACTGAAACAAAGCAACTGAGCCCTGGCAGGTTAACCCCATACCAGCTGAGGCAGCAGGACCTGGGTCGTGGTGAATTAACCCTTTAACAGCTGGTGACAGCTGGGGCTGACTTATGGTGAATTAACCCCTTAACAGCTGGGACAACAGGACCTGGGTCATGGCAAATAAACTCCTTAACAGCTCTGACTGCAGTCATGGAAAATTAACCCCTAAACAGCTGGGGCATAAATTTGTAGGCCTGAGGTTAACCATTTAACAGTGGTGACAGCAGCCTCTCAGTGCTAGAGAAGTAATTAACTCTTTAACAGCTGGGATATCATTGTCTACACAGTGACATATTAACCAATTAACAGCTGGGACAGCTGCACAAGTCCAGCATCTGACAAATCATGAACGATTTACAGCACAGCTGTAATACTGTGCCAAATTAAAAATTGCAACAAATCTTACTTTGAATATTTAATTTTAAATTTGTAATTTTATAAACTCATTTTAGTATGGTTTTCTTAAGTTCTGGCAACTTTATTTTGTTTGTCAATAATTAGCTTTTTTTCCTTGTTAATATTGTTAATATTGTAAAGCTCTGCAGAATACATTAGTGCTATATATATAAAATATCAGGATTGGGGATCCTAATGTGCATGATGAGCGAGATCTGCGCGCATGTTCAAGCTTTCCAATAGGAAGTCGTTGAATCAATGCTTTCCTAGGCGGTCTTCCCGGCCATGTGACTGAGTATTCCCGGTCTGTGGCCGTCATCGTTACAACTGCCATAGGTGTGTTTAACCCTTCAAGGTAAACATTCCGTTTCCGTACCACTGCACCCAGACCACTTCCTTGAGATGACGTGGTCTGGATGACTTTAGTGGTCCTTTACTAATGACAACAATGCTCCCCAGATGTAACACAAATTCCTGTCCAATATGCCCTTTGATCAGCACAACACCGTGGACAAGGCAAAGCACTTACACCACACTATTTATTCCATTAAAAGAACGCTCCTGGCCCCAGAACAACTTCCTTTCAATGATGTTGTTATGGTACCCAGAGTGTTTTTTTTAGAATCAAACAATAAATGACATTTATGCAAATGAATGGAAGCTGCCTCAAGATTAATCACAATGAATTCAAATGTAATGAAAACAGCCAACCTTCGGTAATAATAATTTGCTGCAAAGGACATTCAGTCAGTTACACGTTCCATAACAATGTTAAAGGGATTCGATGTTTATGAGTTCATTAAATGTTCACTCTAAGAAATTACTAACGTTCATGGCCATAGAAAATAATGATTTGTCCCTTTAAGATCCTCTCTGTAAAATGTTTCCTGAACCCTATAAGAAATGTTTTAAAATACATAGATATTTTTTTTTTAAAGCTTGGGTGCTGTTTTTTGCATGAGCAGAATATTCAAGGATTTAATTAAAAGGTATGTGAACATCCCTATGGTTGTTGTTGATCCAAAAAGAAATCTGATTGCCATTATGGAGTGAAGAAGGATTTTTTCCCCTTTTTGTGGCATAATTGGAAATGGCTACAATTGTTTTTTGTTTGTTTTTTAATCAATAGCATGAAAGAATTGGTTTCAAAATTGAACTTAATGGACTTTAGTCTTTTTTTCAACCTAGACACCTATGTATCTTCATAGATCTGTCTAGAAAAATGTTTTTCCTCAGAATCCTTTATTAGATCAGCTGAGGAGAAATAATTTGTCCCCATTAAAGGGCCATTCTAGAAAAAAATGGTTTAGATGTTTGTAGTAATCTTCTAGAATAGATCTTGTCCTCAGAGATATTGAAAGCACCCTTGTTGGAGAAAATGGTTTTGTCTCTACTCTAGAAGCTGGCAGTGCATTATGGGCAATGCAGTTTTACAATATGTGGGGTTCTTGTTCTGGCCACCAATTCTCTAGACCGCAGGTAGACCAAGCAGTCACACAGGATTCTAAAACCAGACAGAGCAATCTGTGCACAGCCTGGATTGACTACTAGAAAGTCTATGACACATTGCCACACGGATACTGGAATGCTTGACTCTATACAAGGTCAGCAAGGCACTTAGAACCTTCATCAAGAACTCTATGGGCAAGTGGAAAACAACTCCAATTCCAGGACAAATACACAAGTGAACATCAAATGTGGCATATGCTTAGGTGACGTGCTAACCCCTATGCTGTTCTGCATGAGACCTCAACCAGGGCTGATCCAAGACATTGTGCTGCCTGGGTCAAAGAATGAAATGCTGCCCCTTTCCCCCTACCCAAACCTCACGCACATCCTTAATGTTATGCAGTGTGTGTAGTGAATGCACTAGAAGATGTGGAGAACAGCTGGAGGTACCACAAACACATGGCAGCCAAGAAGAAAAGGCAAGGAGGACAGGAACATCCAAGTACTTACAGAGAGTTAGACAGGTCCTGAAGTCCCAGCTCAATGGCAAGAACAAGATCCAAGCCATCAACAAATATGCCCTACCAGTCATCATGTAACCAGCTGGGATAATAACCTGATCAAGAGAAGAACTGGTCACCATGAATGTCAAGACTTGGAAACTACGCACTATGAATGCAGGATTCCACACGAAATACAGTACCTAGAGACTGTACACCAGCCGGAAGGAAAGAGGTCAGGGTCAGATGAGCCACAGTCCTAGATGAAAGCATCCACAAGTGAATCACGATGATGGTTCCCAAAGATTAACTGCTAAGGAAATGCATGAGACAAGGACAGATAGATGATGCAGAAAAGGAGGAGGAGGTTCCATGCTAAGGCAATCCTCTCCATGGATTGTACCACTGGTATATAGTGGATGTGGTTCACAATATGAAACCCTACAAGTGGTTAGATAATGGACTAAAAGATAGTACTGAGGTGCTAATCCAAGCAGCAAAGAAACAGGCACTCAGGAACAGATCAATAGAAGCGCGGGTCTACCTCACTAAACAAGACCTATGGTGCAGACTGTGCAAAGAGGCCTTTGAGACAATCCAGCACATAGTAGCCAGGTGTTAGCAGGGACAGCATACACTGAGAAGCACAACTGAGTTGCTGGGATTGTGTACCAAAACATCTGCACAGAATATGGGCTGGATCTGTCTACGTACAAATGGGAGATACCATAAAGGGTAGTTGAGAATGACAGGCCTAAGATCCTGTGGGACTTTCAGACTCAGCCAGATATGCAAGTATTGGCCAACCAACCTTGCATCATGATGGTAGACAGGTAATTGAAAACTGCAGTCGTGGTTCATGTGGCAATACCCAGTGACCATAACATCAGGAAGAAGGAACATGAGATGGTTGACTACAAGAGGAGCTAGAAAGTAGGCATGTGCATGGGTAAAATTTTCTGTTCGGCATTCCGAAATTCGGGACTTCGGCAATTCGGGACTTCAGCAATTCTACACTTCGCAACTTCAGCACTTCAGAACTTCGACACTTCAGAAATTTGGCAACTTCGACACTTCGGAATTTCGGCACTTTAGCACTTCGGGACTTCTCTTGCAGCTGCTTAGTAGATAACTCCCTAATTCCCACGGTATTAGGGAGTTATCTACCAAAAGGCTGAAAGACCTAAATTGGTCTTTCAGCCAAATTTACTAATACTAAGTAAAAATTAGCAGCCTATGGCTGCACACTGTTAAAAAAAAAAAAAAAATAGGGTCCCCCCCCTCCCGAGCCACCACCCGCGACGCGCAAGTGGGGGCTTTTAAACTAAAGGGGGGACCTATTGCCCCCCCGGCCCCCAACCCTGAGCGGTGGGTGGAGGCCCTAAAGTAAAATGATGGGGGGAGGACCTATTGTCCTCCCCCCGGCCCCCACCCCTGAGCGGTGGGTAGGGGCCCTAAACACTAATAAGGGGGGGACCTAATGTCCTGGCCCCCACCCCTGAGCGGTGGGTGGGATCCCTAAATACTAATAAGGGGGGGACCTAATGTCCTCCCCCTGGCCCCCACCCCTGAGCGGTGGGTGGGGCCCTAAATACTAATAAGGGGGGGACCTAATGTCCTCCCCCCTGGCCCCCACCCCGAGCGGTGGGTGGGGGCCCTAAATTAGAATAAGGGGGGACCTCTGGCCCCCACCCCTAAATTAGAATAAGGGGGGGACCTCTGGCCCCCACCCCAGAGCGGCGGGTGGGGGCCCTAAATTGGAATAAGGGGGGGACCTAATGTCCTCACCCCTGGCCCCCCACACCTGAGCAGCGGGTTGGGGCCCTAAATACCAATAGGGGGGGACCTATTGTCCTCCCCCCCAGTCCACTCTGTAAGTAACCAATCAGAGAGTTATGAGTCAAATTACACAGTGTGGGAAAATTCCAAAGAACTTTCCTACGCTGTGTAAAATGACACTGAGCACTCTGATTGGTGGATTTCAAGCCAACCAATCAGAGTGCTGTGACAGGTAAATGTAGAGACTTAACTGTCAGTCTCTTCATTTACCTGTCAGAGCACTCTGATTGGATGGCTTAAACCCACCAATCGGGCCAGGGGGAGGACATTAGGCCCCCCCCTTATTAGTATTTAGGGCCCCCACCCACCGCTCAGGGGGGAGAACATTAGGTCCCCCCCCCCTTTATTTTACTGTAGGGCCCCCACCCGGCGTTAAGGGGTGGGGCCTGGGGGGGGCAATAGGTCCCCCCTTCAGGTTAGAAGTCCCCATCGCGCAGTACGGGTGGGGGCTCAGGAGGGGGGAACCTAATGGTTGCTCACTGTTTAATAGACATGCCCCTACTCACAGTATAGCGAGTAGGGGTATAATTTACTAATACTAAGTAATCTTTACTTAGTATTAGTAAATTTGGCTGAAAGTCCAATTTAGGTCTTTCAGCCTTTTAGTAGATAGCTCCCTAATACCGTGGGAATTAGGGAGTTATCTACTTATTCGTTCCTGTCATTACACTGACTGGCTAAGTAACTTACATATTATATGAATGTATGTTACTTGTTTGTTGTAAGTGTTGCAAATGCTTACAGCTGAATCCTGTTTGTATACTTTTTATTTAAAATTGTATACAGTGTAACATTCTTCATTATTCCACTGGGTAAGTATATTAGTTCTAAGGCAATGCTGTGCTTCGGAACTTCGGCACTTTGACACTTCGGAACTTCAGCACTTCGGAAATTCGGTAATTTCGGAACGTCGGGACTTCGACCATTCGGCAATTCGGCAATTCATCTATTCGGAAGTACCGTAATACAAGCACTCTGAGTAATGACCCTTATGTTGGGTGAGTGGCTCCAGCAGATATCAGGTGGGACATCTGAGATCGCTGTCCATAAAAGGGCAATCTAGAAACAGAAAGATACTGTGCAGAACCCTCAGACTCCCAGGCCTCAGGTAGCAAACCAAAGAATGAGCAATATACAAAAATATAACACGGAGGCGTGAGAAAGTAAGTACATTTTTATATATATATATTATTTCTAGTGAATCACCTCAAAAAGCAATGGCATGTACCCCCTGACTACCCCATATAATACGCTTTTCCAAGCTTAATGAAATAAGGGCTGGGGATCAGATAATTCTCTGTGAGACATTAAAAAAACATTCCAAATGGAAATAGACTGCACATTTTTCAGTAAGCTTTGGTGTTTTTTTTGCAGGAATTTGGCCCCAAAACAGCAGCTATTAATATCTGAGTGGACTATGATTTATTGCTTATTTGTTCTGGATGTAAATTCTGCTAATCTAGGATTGTTCTCTAATCATCCGACTGTATAGGTTTACTTGCCAGTGGCCTGGTTTACAGCTGGCCATATATGGCAAACTTTGGTGGTGTGAACAATAGTCCAACCCATCTCCTTCAAAGGATCTCTTAAACTATTGTTTTTTTGTTTTAATAGAAAGATGAATTCAACTTTTTTATCTGTACTATATTTTGAACTGCCCATGTGAATCTACTTATTTACATCTGCATGGGGAACGTTCAGCGCCTCCATTCAGAGCGTGGAGACGCTAAACGTCAGAGCTGCGCATTGTGCAGCACTGACCCAGGAAGCATCTCTACTGGCTGTCTGAGTGACTGCCACTAGAGGTGTCCCTTTTCTCTGAAAAGACAGTGTTTACATTAAAAAGCCTAGAGGGTCCACTCTGCTATGACGCAAAGGAATGCACCCCATCACCAAACTTCTCCAAACCGCTGGACCAACTTACCGATGGTCGACTCCAAGATCACTGCTGGTCGTCAAGGAGATGAAAACATACAAGGCTTCAGACCCAGCAGATGGCCCTGCCTTGCTGGCAGCATTGGGCCTCTCGATGCAGGGACTACCCACACCAGGACTATCCAGTGCTCACCCGAGGAACAATGTGGATATCCCCACTTTCGTGACCAGAGAAGAAAGAAGCCCTGCAACCTGAACAGTGTTTTTTTTTATCATGCCAAGTTACCCACAGTCTTTTTTTTTTAGTTTAGTATTTCTTCTGTTGGAATAGGATAATATAGACCAAGCCCCTACGGCAGTTGTTCTAGGCTCCGATGATATAACCCCCCCCCCCCTTAGTGCCCCAGATCACAGGGCATAGTGAACAATGGAGCATTATACTCAACACCACAAGTCTAGCCTATACTGGACATATAGCCTCACTAAGCAGCCACAACGGGCCGAGCCCTACAAATACAACGCTACACATGGTCCAAATTACACTTCGCTCCCACATAGACGGCTTCCCGATAGCTAACCAGACTAATAACCTGAACTAGCCCTACACATTTGGGTTACAATATGTCTTTTTGATAAAGAGCGGCTTCGGTTCGCATGACAATTATGTTATTGCCATATATGTTATGTTCCTTTCCTTTTCTTTTAATTTAATTTGCACCACTGCAGCACAGATATATGTTTTTTAAATGACACATATGAGAATGCGCCTATGCTTGCTGACACTCAGTGCTGACAGTTATGCATTACAGCGACCCAGGTTCCCTTCGTTACCAGCGACACTTAACATAACAGCAGGCTTAAAAGCGCAAAACCCTATATCAATCACACACCAAAGTACCATTATATATAGCCCTAGAATTTACCATTATTAAAGTTATAACTGCCCAGCACACTATATATAAAAATGTGCAATGCTTGTTGTCTCATGCATATGCTGTTTTGGCAAATTCAAATGTGTCTGTACCACTGATATTGCACTGAAAATAAAGATTTTTTTTTTTAAAAAGCCTGCAGAGACTGACTATTAGTGCTGCCTTCAACATGGATGTTGTCCAGGAAGTAGGAGGGTCTGCCGGAGATTGGCAGGGATGTGTCAGCTGACCGGAGTTCACCGTGAACCGCGGCGAACCGTTCGCGGCAAGTTCGCGGACGGTTCGCGACATCACTACTGACTATACTCACCAGAACCACTACATTCAGCTGTAGTTGTTCTGGTAACTATAGCTTCCCTTTAATTAATTGGTGCACGTTAGGCAATTAATTCTGAAAATATTCAACGACTATTTGGGGAGAATTAATTTTGCTAGCGGAATTTTTGTCCCCCAGTTTGGGTGTCGGTAAATTCACTTAATTAGAAGCTTTGAAGAATTGATGAGGAAATTGCAAAATTTCGATAGAAATAACTAAATTGCAACAATTCAGCCTGGCTATACTGACTTGCAATTTGCGATTCATTTGTCAATTCTCCGCAATTCCCTACTGAGAAGTTAGTTCACCAAACTGCAAATTAGAAGTAACTAAAATAGAATGGTGGGATATAGTCAAAAAATACCTGGTCTGGAAAAAGTGTTAAACTCAGCAATTAAAAGAAGTAAAGTAAAAAAGCATACTTGCGATTCCATGACAAAGCCAAGATCTCTCTCCAACCTGATCTTTCTCTGTTGCCAGCATGCTATGTGTATTGATGATAGACGCCCAATATGCATAGATTTAATATGACACTATAGTCACCAGACTAACTACAGCTTATTGTATTTGTTCTGGTGAGTAGAATCAGTCCCTTCAGGCTTTTTGCAGTAAGCACTATTTTTTCAGAGAAAAGGCAGTGTTTACATTACAGTCTAGGGATACCTCCACTGGCCACTCCTCAGATGACTACTGGAGGTGCTTCCTGGGGCAGTGCTGTACAGTGTGACTGACAGTCAGTGTCTCCACCCTCTGCATGAAGACACTGAACTTTCCTCATAGAGATGCATTGGTTCAATCCATCTCTATGAGGAGATGCGGATTGGCCAGGTTAGTCTTTGGCCCCGCCCCTCTGCCGATCTCAGCTCCTGTGGGAAAGCATTGGATTGGCTGAGATCATCAATTCTGATGTCAGCCAAAGAGGCAGTTCGGGGGCGGAGCCAGTGCCTGCAGACCTGTGGAGATCTGGAAACAAGGTGACGAGCCACCTAAATGGTGGTTTTAACACTATAGGGTCAGGAATACACATTTGTGTTCCTGACCCTATAGTGTTCATTTAACATTAGCCAGCCCGGAACTCTTGTTCTGGACCAGCCAAAAACGCTGCTGGAGGTGAAGTTACTCATTCAGCAACAGAGTGCTTTAACCCTGTATGTGTTGTGTTTCATAGTGAAACTCTGCACACACAGACTCCGAGCACCATGACCACTGCAAATTATTGAATTGGTCATGCAAATTATTGAATTTGGTATACAGTTGACAGCAATAACAAAAGTGATTTGTGTTTTTTTTTGTTGTTTTTTTTAAGTCACTCAGAGTGTTATTTATTTAGAGATGTAACTCCTGAAGAGGAGATAACTAAGGCAACATGTCAGGGACCAGTTACCCCAATGAGAATAGTAAACTGGCGCCTAAATCTTGCCTCTCGTGCCGCCAACATCATGGCTCATTACTCAACAAAGAGTGAAACGAGCGCTCTCAGAGCTGCAAATCTAAATTATATATCAGAATGAGAGACTCCTGATTGGTGGAGACTGCCTCTTCCACCTTTGGGGGGTGGGGGTTACATAAAAACATAGAATGTGACGGCAGATGAGAACTATTCGGCCCATCTAATCTGCCCAATTTTCTAAATATTTTCATTAGTACCTGGCCTTATCTTATAGTTAGGATAACCTAATGCCTATCCAACGCATGCTTAAACTCTCTCACTGTGTTACACTCTACCACTTCAGCTGGAAGGCTAATCCATGCATCTACTACCCTCTCTGTAAGGAAATACTTCCTGATATTATGTTTAAACCTTTGCCCCTCTAATTTAAAGGGACACAATAGTCACCCAGACCACTTCAGCTCAATGAAGTTGTCTGGGTGCCAGGTCCCCCAGGTTTTAACCCTTCAGATGTAAACATAGCAGTTTCAGAGAAACTGCTATGTTTACATTGCACGGTTAATCCAGCCTCTAGTGGCTGTCTTCCTGACAGCCACTAGAGGCACTTCTTCGGCGCTGGATACGAAAATCGCATCCAGCGTGCAGAACGTCCATAGGAAAGCATTGAGAAATGCTTTCTCTTGCCGCGCATGCGCATACCGCTCCACTCGGGAGCTGACGTCAGCGGGGGAGGAGAAGTCACCAGCGCCGAGGGAGCCCAGCGCTGGATAAAGGTAAGTAACTGAAGGGGGTTTAACCACTTCAGCGCCAAGGGAGGGGGGCCCTGAGGGTTGGCGGGACCTAAGGATGATATAGTGTCAGGAAAACGAGATTGTTTTCCTGACACTATAGTGATCCTTGAAGACTATGTCCTCTTGTTGTGGTAGTTTTTCTTCTTTTAAATATAATCTCCTCCTTTACTGTGCTGATTCCCTTTATGTATTTACATGTTTCTATCATATCCCCCCTGTCTCGTCTTTCCTCCAAACTATACATGTTAAGATCCTTTAACCGTTCCTTATTAGTCGGCAGCGACACTTGTCTGTGCGAGTGCTACAATTTTAAGAGTATTTTATTTATGCATATTGTTTTAAAGGATCACTATATAACCCTTAGGCTCCCCCCACCCTTAGGGCCCCCCTCCCTTGGCGCTGAAGGGGTTAAAATCGCTTCAGTTACTTACTTTAATCCAGCACCGGGCTCCCTCAGCGCTGGTGACCTCTACTCCCACTCCGACGTCAGCTCCCGAGTGAGCGGAATGTGCATGCGCATCCAGAGCCGCGCACGCATTAAAAATGCCCATAGAAAAGCATTTGTCAATACGATTTTTGCATTCAGCGTCTCAGAAGCGCCTCTAGGGGCTGTCAGGAAGACAGCCACTAGAGGCTGGATTAACCCTGCTATGTTTACATCTGAAGGGTTAAAACCTGGGGGACCTGGCACCCAAACCACTTAATTGAGCTGAAGTTGTCTGGGTGACTATAGTGTCCCTTTAATTAATTCTTGGATATATTTTATGCATTATCTATGCATTGTTTTAAAAGATCTGGGATGCTTCCAGCATACTGTGCTAAAGATGCAATCATGTTTTAACTTAGAGTTGACTGAAGGATAGCAAAAGACTGACCACAACAAGATGTTAGTTAACTTGCACCATGAGCGCCATCTAGCCACGCCTGGGAGGATTACATCAGTACTGTATCATCCAGTAACTTACATTCCCAATTCATCTGCCAGTGGTCATAATGTAAATTTAAAATCCAATAATATGGCGATAGATCATGACAGCTGGCCCGTAAATCAAGAAAGATGAATAGTGCTGTGTCTATGCTTTAATAGTAAACAGTTAAGGCTAAACATTAAACAGAAAGGGTAGTAGATGCATGGACTAGCCTTCCAGTGGAAGTGGTAAAAGCTAGCTCAGATACAGAAAGATTGGTAGCAGTAAAGGTTAATAGTGATCGCTCCCACGGTGTGCTTAGAAGATTATTCCATCCTAATTCCACCCTCTATTTTCATTTCCTTCTCACCTTCACTTTTATCCACATTTAATCCCTAAATTTGGCAAGCATAGTCGCCCACACCCTGTCCGCAGTCTACCTATAGCATAGCTCCTCAGGTTCCTGTATGCTCTCGTATTTACCTCTTAAACTACTTTACAATATACCTATTCCTGCAAACTCACCGTATAGCTATCCGCAGGGCCGGACTGGGAGAAAAATTCGGCCCGGGCATTTTTTAACACAGCGGCCCACTAAAAAGGGGGCGGGGCAGAGGAGGTGTGTTTTGTCATCACCAATGACAAACACGCCTCCTCTCAAAGTGAGCATGTTGGTTCAATGCTCTTCCAGGGCAGACCATGCGCAGAGCTCTGCTGAAGAGCTCTAGCATGAGAAAAAAGTCCTGTATTTGTTCTGCACAGTGCAAGCAAATTTAATAACATGCTTGCACTGTGTTTCCTTGCAACTTGTCTCTGGTGTCTCTATAAATGGATACCAGGAGACAAAAGGCCAGGAAAGAGTATTGTGCATGTGTTTGGAGCCTGCTTGTGGTATTGCGTGTGTGTAGAGTGAGCTGGT